CCCGTCGCCTGTCGAGGCGACCTGAGGGGGCCGGGAGGCCGCGCGTCGCCCCTTTCTGCCGCCTGTTCCGGCGCCCTGGGGGGCCGCGCGTCGGAGCAGCCGCCCCTGGTGCAGCCGCCCCTGGACCTCAGCAGCCGCCCCTGGCCCCTGGAGCAGCCGCCCCTGGTGCAGCCGCCCCTGGACCCCGCGACGCCGCCCCTGGACCCCGTGACGCAGCCCCTGGACCCCACGGTGCCGACCTTGCAGCTGCATGCGATGCCGTTCCTGGACCCGGTGCAGCCGCCTCCCTGTGCTGCCCGTTGCTGCTCTCCCCCCCCCCCCCCCCCCCCCCCTTCTTCGTCTCCCTGCTGCGCGTGCAGCCGTGGAACGGAGGGTATGGGGGTGATGGGTGGTGTGTTTCCCTTCCCCTCCTCCTCCTTTCGTTCCCACTGCTGCAGCTGCCGCTGGGGGGAGGGTGTGAGGGTGTGGGGGAGCCAGGGGAGTGGCATTGGGGTGGCGGGTGTGAGACCATCCAGCCCCCGTCCCTCTGAGGTGGGGGGGGGGGGAGGAGAGTAAAGGGGTGGCAGGAGTGCCTGCCCTTTTGCTGCTGTACCTGCTTTGTTACCTTGCCTGCTGTTGTTGTTTTCTCTGTTCGTGGTGTACCCATCCAGGATGTGTCGCTGCACAGACTTGTGCTGCAGGCAGTTATGGGGGAGTGTTAAAATATATCTGTAACTGCCTGTAGCTGTAGTTAGTGTAGTTATTATAAACTTGTTGGTGGTGCACCTTCTTTGCATGCCTTGTTTGCTATTTGTACCTCGCTCAATAGTGAACTCACTCTCTCTTTGGCTAAACTCTTTCGACTCCTTTTGGCCTAGGCTACTAAGCCTAGGCCCTACACTTTCTATTCAACAGTGCCTACTTTGCCTCACTTGCTCACTGCGTGACTTTGCTTGTACTGTGATCTATATATGTACCTGCATGCTTACACTTGCTAGGATATGATCACTGTATTATTTGTTCTGTTTTATATAACTCTGCATGTGAACTGGCCTTGTGGCCCTTTGCTTGTGCTTGGAATGTTTGGTGACTTTGTGATCCACCCCGAGCTTGCTTTGCTTTTCTTGACTTGTCTTGTGGCCACTTGTTCTCCCCCAATTTGCCTATTGGGGTGTATCAGAATGTTTTTGTGCTTATTTTGTGTAGGCTATAGTGGGGTAGCCCACAAGGGATACAACTCAATTAGGGTTAGTGCTTGTACCCAACTCTTTCATAGTTCATTCACTTAGTTTGACACGTACCTCAAATCATATCTGAGTGTATGTTGTGAAGTTTTTTTGCCGTAGTCCACGTTCCACATGCAAAGCACAAGAGCTACATAGATAGTGAAATATACATCGCTAGGACAATGTAAAGTATATGAATGTTGCCCAACAAAAATATACGTAAAAAAAATATACGGTACATGATAGTGGGCACTGGGAAAACAGTATCTTTGCTGTGGCATCACATGACATAATGCACAAAAACAAAATATCAGATAAAACATTTGATGTACACATTTGATCACTAAACTGCAAAATTGGATGCCATATGGCAAAGTTTCTGGCATGAACCATGTGGCATGGGGGTAGTGCACAGTTGGGACCTCGACCTCAAAAGTGAGGGAGCTGTTGAGCAGCAGGGAACTCTCACACATGGCATCCATCCTCCATGCGATGGCACAGCAACCAGCATGGGACGGGACCCAGTCACAGCGGACTGTCAAAAATTGCAGGTACTATCACCACCACCACCACCACCACCACCACCACCACCATGCCACTTGATGCTTCACGCTCGCCCTCCCCCTCCCACAACCCCTACCCTCCCTCCTCATCCTTCACCCCTCCAGTCTTGTTATGGACAATGATTCAAAATTGACCCAACAATCAGTCTCCTTGAGCTGGTGTGCTCTCAAAACAATGTGTCTCCGTTGCTGTCCAGTGCCACTGGAGGATGGCGGGACTGCCTTTGCCCCCTGCCCCCTGCCCCCTGCCCCCTGCCCCCTGCCCCCTGCCCCCTGCCCCCTGCCCCCTGCCCCCTGCCCCATGCCCCCTGCCCCCTGCCCCCTGGCCCCTGGCCCCTGCCCCCTGCCCTCTGCCTCTGCCTCTGCCTCTGCCTCAGCACTCCCCTTAGTGGTGCTGATTTGCAGTGCCAGCGCTGCTACGGACAATGCAGCAAGCGCACGGCACAGCATACACACGGGCGTGCGAGCAGGCACGTCAAGCCAAGCCCAAACACCCCGTTGCTCAAAGCCCCTTCACCACCCTCCCCCTCTCACTTGCCCCCTGCTCCCCTCACTTGCCCCCTGCCCCTTTCACTTGCCCCCTGCTCCCCTCACTTGCCCCCTGCCCCTTTCACTTGCCCCCTGCTCCTCTCACTTGCCCCCTGTGCGTTTAAGCGAGGCAAAGAAGCCTCCTCGCCTCTCCCTGCGCCTCTGCTCGCCCTCACCCTCCTCCTCCACCTGCGGCCCACCCGGTCACACACGCACGAGGGCACACAGCAGGCAGGGTGGCACAGGGTGGGGAGGAAGAGAGTTGGGATGAGGCAGATGATTCTTTTGGGAGGTTTGAGTAATGTGGAGTACATGGATGGAGGGGCAGATGGAGAGGGGCGGATGGAGAGAGGGGCGGATGGAGAGAGGGGCGGATGGAGAGAGGGGCGGATGGAGAGAGGGGCGGATGGAGAGAGGGGCAGATGGAGAGAGGGGCGGATGGAGAGAGGGGCGGATGGAGAGAGGGGCGGATGGAGAGAGGGAGATGCAGCGAGGGGCAGGAAGGAAGTGCACCCGCCTACACACCCTCACCTCATGCGCCATGCCCTTCCCCCTCACCTCATGCGCCATGCCCTTCCCCCTCACCTCATGCACCATGCCCTTCCCCCTCACCTCATGCGCCATGCCCTTCCCCCTCACCTCATGCGCCATGCCCTTCCCCCTCACCTCATGCGCCATGCCCTTCCCCCTCACCTCATGCGCCATGCCCTTCCCCCTCACCTCATGCGCCATGCCCTTCCCCCTCACCTCATGCGCCATGCCCTTCCCCCTCACCTCATGCGCCATGCCCTTCCCCCTCACCTCATGCGCCATGCCCTTCCCCCTCACCTCATGCGCCATGCCCTTCCCCCTCACCTCATGCGCCATGCCCTTCCCCCTCACCTCATGCGCCATGCCCTTCCCCCTCACCTCATGCGCCATGCCCTTCCCCCTCACCTCATGCGCCATGCACTTCCCCCTCACCACATGCGCCATGCCCTTCCCCCTCACCTCATGCGCCATGCCCTTCCCCCTCACCTCATGCGCCATGCCCTTCCCCCTCACCTCATGCGCCATGCCCTTCCCCCTCACCTCATGCGCCATGCCCTTCCCCCTCACCTCATGCGCCATGCCCTTCCCCCTCACCTCATGCGCCATGCCCTTCCCCCTCACCTCATCCACCATACCCCCTTCCCCTCACCTCATGTGCCATGCCCTTCCCCCTCACCTCATCCACCATACCCCCTTCCCCTCACCTCATGCGCCATGTCAGCCAGCAGGCGCAGCACGGCACTGAACTCGGGCCGCTCAGCGGGGTTTGTGTGCCAGCACCGCGCCATCAGCTCTGCCAGCCGCGGGTGCGTGCCCTTCGGGATGGGCGGCCGCAGCCCCTGCCGTGGGGGAGGGGGCGGACATGGGAGTGGAGGGACGAGAGCACGAGCAGCAGTGCAGAGTGTGAGTTGGTGCGGCTGTGGAGAGAGTGTGGGGTGGTGCAGCGTGTGCAACCCTATGACCAAGTCACAACCATTCCCACACCCAATTCTCACAATTATTCTCACACCAACTCCTCACAACCACTTCACACCACTACTCACCTTTTGCACCACGCTAACAGCTGCTTGCAGGGGCGTGAGATCCGCATATGGCAGCTGTGCCACGTGGCCCGCACACATGCACACACACACGCACGACAAGGCACATGCACACACACACGCACAGAAAGTGAGGGGAAGAAGGGGAATTATGAGATGTGCGAGCTGATTCATGCACACGTGCCTGCATGACAACCTCTGTTTGGGAAACCCGCTTGCCCTCAAAAGACCTACTCACCCCCCTACCCTACCTCGCCCTCATCCCCCCACCGGTCCACACCTTGAGGGTGAGCAGGGTGGGAAGATCAGCCCAACATCATCCCCATCCCCCATGTCAACTGCCCCATCTCCCCCAAACCCCACCCACGAGGCCCATGTGCCCAGGTGCCACCTTACCTTGCCGGTGAGCAGCTCCCACAGCGTGATGGCGAAGCTGAACACGTCCGCCTTGTGGTCGTACGCCCTGTGCTCTATCACCTGCCTCACACATGGTGCAGCGGGCAGGCGGCAAGGAGCATGGGACATGTGGCTTGACCCATGGCATGGTACATGACACGTGAGAGGGAAACACCGCACGCACACTGAGCTGAAACGATTGAGAAGGAGGAACACCAAATCTGACCATTTCTCTGTATTTGAGGTACTTAGCCCATTCCCGAATCCGTTGCATAACCCAGCACCCCAACCTGCCTCTCACCTCGGGTGCCATCCAGCGGTACGTGCCGGTCTCACCTCGGGTGCCATCCAACGGTACGTGCCGGTCTCACCTCAGGTGCCATCCAGCGGTACGTGCCGGTCTCGGCCGTCATGATGCCGCTGCCCGCCTTCACCCGCGCCACTCCAAAGTCCGCCACCTTCACCACCTGTGCTCGGGGAAGCGGTAGGGCGGAAGGGAGGGGGGAGGGAATGGGCAAGGGGATGGGGCATGGGCAACGAGCGGTGGGACCACATATGTTATTATTAACATTATGTGAGGTACTACCCATAACTGTGTTTCTTGGCCGTTTGTTTGATAGTAAGCATAAGAAAGTTGGTAACTTTAGGTCTGGTACTAAAAATAAGTACGTTATCCGACCTTATCGTCGGTACCAGCCAGAAGTGTGTTTTATTTAACCTTATGTTTGGTAATGAGAGCAGAAAACACAGGCCGCAGCAACACCGAGCATCGCCCAGACCCCATGCCATGCATCCCTTGGGGGCGAGCACCTCACGTGCTTCACCCGCCCTCCCCTCTGGACGAGAGCAGGAGGTAGAGGTAGAGGGTGAGGGTGAGGGATGGCTTGCCTCGTTTTCATCCATGAGCAAATTAGCGGCCTTGAGGTCGCGGTGGATGATGTTGTTCTTGTGCACCAAGTTCATTCCCACGCGCACCACCCACTCATGCACCGAGACACACACGCACACCGCACAGCACCGCACACCACACCACGCACCTCGTTCTCGTCCATCAACAGATTTGCAGCCTTGAGGTCGCGGTGAATGATGTTGTTCTTGTGCAGAAAGTCCATTCCCTTTGCCACGTCCATGCCCACCCGCACCACCATCCCCAGCCGCATGCTGCCACGCTGCTTGTGAATGTAGTCGTACACACTGCCGCCCACCATGAACTCTGCCCAGTCATACGCACACACACGCATGCGCACACACACGCATGCGCACACACACGCATGCGCACACATGCACGCACGCACGCACGCACGCAGACACACACACACACACACACACACCAACCAAGGGGGTAGGGAAAGGGGCAGTTGGGAGAGAGAGGTCTGTTAAGGCAAGTGTGGTGGCCACTGGCCAAGCATGGAGGGAGAGAAATGGCAGCATGGCATGGCATGGCATGGCATTGCACAGGCTGGCGGCTAGGATACAATGTAACATTTACAGAATTCCTTATTATTATTGATGCTTCAAATTCAAATAAGTAAACGATTTTGGCATACCGTTCCTGTGACTAGTTAGCGTATGTACCTGTGACTATAGAGAGGTTAGGCGGCTTGGTGCAGGCTCCAATAAATTGCACCACGTTCTTATGGCGAACCTTCCTGTGAGGGAATACAGGTTAGGGGAAGGGTTGTGCGTACGAGTTGGAGCAGCACACATGTGGCAGCAGCATGCAGGGAGTGATGGTAGTCGAGGAGTGGGTGGGCGGGCAGTCGTACGACGTACAGTACGACAGGGATGAGTGGGTCACTTGACATCTCATCAAACTGGCATCCTGGAAAAGGGGGGCTGTTTACCTCTTGGGTTAACCCAAAGTAAAAAAAAAAAAAAAAAAAAAACAACAACAACAACAAACAAACACACACACACACACACACACACACACACACACACACACACACACACACACACACACACTGCCATCGGACAGCCCTGCCTCACCTCATGATGTACACCTCCTGGGCGAACTCCTGCTGCAGTGAGTCGCTGAGTCGCTCGGGCTTTAAGATCTTGATCGCCACGTCCTGCCCACAGTACGTGCCTCGGTACCTGGTGCCATGGAATGCCATGCCATACCAGGCCATGTCATGCCATGTGATATCATGCCATGTGATGCCATGCCATGCTAGCGAGCCATGCCATGCCATGCCATGCCACGCCACATACTCGTGCGATGCCATGCCATGTTGCACGGAGTGATGTGCAAACAAAGTGAGCATAAGACTCACAACCACGCGAGGCACTGTGAAATAAGCACAGCATTTGGAATCAAATTAAGTGAGCTGCAACAACCCCAGCCCACTGCTCCAAACCCCAAGGGGTACGCACAGGTCACCAAAGGAGCCAGAGGCGATCTTGTGGTGCAGCTTGAGCTGCTGGCTGTCGATCTCCCAGTCGTCCCGCCCATCCGTGGGGATGGGCACGCGTGACTCTGCCCCTGACACGTGTGACCCCGCCCCCTGCCCCCCTGCCCCCGCCCCTCCCATGCCCGCTGACTCCGACCCCGCCGGGCCCGGTGCTGACTGCATTGACTGCATTGACTGGCCGGACGCCTCTGGCTGCATGGAGAGGGCTGCACCCGCCCCCATCTGCCCGGCAATGGAGAGTGAGTGAGAGTGGACGGAGGAGGGTGAGCATAGAGGAAGAGTATGAGCATAGAGGAAGAGTATGAGCATAGAGGAAGAGTATGAGCATAGAGGAAGAGTATGAGCATAGAGGAAGAGTATGAGCATAGAGGAAGAGTATGAGCATAGAGGAAGAGTATGAGCATCGTGTGATTGCAGCAGGTAAGGGACAGGCGAAGGCTGCAGTGAGTGCATCCACATGGCATCCGTGCAGTGAGGTGCAGTGAGGTGCAGTGAGGTGCAGTGAGGTGCAAGGGGGTGCATGGGGAGGCAAGAGAGGGAGCAGGCAGGGGCGGGGCGGGACTGACCTGCAGCACGCGCACCAAGGCTGCATGCAGATCCACCACGTCCTGATGGCCGTGCCGTGCAGGGCAGGGGCGCACACCCCCACATGCCAGGCGCGCACACCCCCACATGCCAGGCGCGCACAGGGACACGGAAGGCGGCACAGACGAGATGGGAGGGATTAGACAGGGAGGAAAGGGGCATGGTAGGGACGAGAAGGGGAGAGACAGTGGGGAGAGCATGGGGAGAGGAAGGGGGGAGGGCATGGGAAGAGGAAGGGGGGAGGGCATGGGGAGAGGCAGTAGGGAGGGCATGGGGAGAGGCAGTAGGGAGGGCATGGGGAGAGGCAGTGGGGAGAGCATGGGGAGAGGCAGTGGGGAGAGCATGGGGAGAGGCAGAGGGGAGAGCATGGGGAGAGGCAGTGGGGAGAGCATGGGGAGAGGCAGAGGGGAGAGCATGGGGAGAGGCAGTGGGGAGAGCATGGGGAGAGGCAGAGGGGAGAGCATGGGGAGAGGCAGTGGGGAGAGCATGGGGAGAGGCAGAGGGGAGAGCATGGGGAGAGGCAGTGGGGAGAGCATGGGGAGAGGCAGAGGGGAGAGCATGGGGAGAGGCAGTGGGGAGAGCATGGGGAGAGGCAGTGGGGAGAGCATGGGGAGAGGCAGAGGGGAGAGCATGGGGAGAGGCAGAGGGGAGAGCATGGGGAGAGGCAGTGGGGAGAGCATGGGGAGAGGCAGTGGGGAGAGCATGGGGAGAGGCAGTGGGGAGAGCATGGGGAGAGGCAGTGGGGAGAGCATGGGGAGAGGCAGTGGGGAGAGCATGGGGAGAGGCAGAGGGGAGAGCATGGGGAGAGGCAGTGGGGAGAGCATGGGGAGAGGCAGTGGGGAGAGCATGGGGAGAGGCAGTGGGGAGAGCATGGGGAGAGGCAGTGGGGAGAGAATGGGGAGAGGCAGAGGGGAGAGCATGGGGAGAGGCAGAGGGGAGAGCATGGGGAGAGGCAGTGGGGAGAGCATGGGGAGAGGCAGTGGGGAGAGCATGGGGAGAGGCAGAGGGGAGAGCATGGGGAGAGGCAGTGGGGAGAGCATGGGGAGAGGCAGTGGGGAGAGCATGGGGAGAGGCAGTGGGGAGAGCATGGGGAGAGGCAGTGGGGAGAGCATGGGGAGAGGCAGTGGGGAGAGCATGGGGAGAGGCAGAGGGGAGAGCATGGGGAGAGGCAGTGGGGAGAGCATGGGGAGAGGCAGAGGGGAGAGCATGGGGAGAGGCAGTGGGGAGAGCATGGGGAGAGGCAGTGGGGAGAGCATGGGGAGAGGCAGTGGGGAGAGCATGGGGAGAGGCAGTGGGGAGAGCATGGGGAGAGGCAGTGGGGAGAGCATGGGGAGAGGCAGTGGGGAGAGCATGGGGAGAGGCAGTGGGGAGAGCATGGGGAGAGGCAGTGGGGAGAGCATGGGGAGAGGCAGAGGGGAGAGCATGGGGAGAGGCAGTGGGGAGAGCATGGGGAGAGGCAGTGGGGAGAGCATGGGGAGAGGCAGAGGGGAGAGCATGGGGAGAGGCAGTGGGGAGAGCATGGGGAGAGGCAGAGGGGAGAGCATGGGGAGAGGCAGTGGGGAGAGCATGGGGAGAGGCAGTGGGGAGAGCATGGGGAGAGGCAGTGGGGAGAGCATGGGGAGAGGCAGAGGGGAGAGCATGGGGAGAGGCAGTGGGGAGAGCATGGGGAGAGGCAGTGGGGAGAGCATGGGGAGAGGCAGTGGGGAGAGCATGGGGAGAGGCAGTGGGGAGGGCATGGGGAGAGGCAGAGGGGAGAGCATGGGGAGAGGCAGTGGGGAGAGCATGGGGAGAGGCAGTGGGGAGAGCATGGGGAGAGGCAGAGGGGAGAGCATGGGGAGAGGCAGTGGGGAGAGCATGGGGAGAGGCAGAGGGGAGAGCATGGGGAGAGGCAGTGGGGAGAGCATGGGGAGAGGCAGTGGGGAGAGCATGGGGAGAGGCAGTGGGAGCATGGAGAGCATGGGGAGAGGCAGAGGGGAGAGCATGGGGAGAGGCAGTGGGGAGAGCATGGGGAGAGGCAGTGGGGAGAGCATGGGGAGAGGCAGTGGGGAGAGCATGGGGAGAGGCAGTGGGGAGGGCATGGGGAGAGGCAGTGGGGAGAGCATGGGGAGAGGCAGTGGGGAGAGCATGGGGAGAGGCAGTGGGGAGAGCATGGGGAGAGGCAGTGGGGAGGGCATGGGGAGAGGCAGTGGGGAGAGCATGGGGAGAGGCAGTGGGGAGAGCATGGGGAGAGGCAGTGGGGAGAGCATGGGGAGAGGCAGTGGGGAGGGTATGGGAGAGGCGGTGGAGGGGGCGAGAGCACGGGGGCAGACCTCGGTGGGCCAGCCATCAACAACGAAGACGTCAAGGGAGAGCCCGTCAAACGTGGAGAACACATGCGCCTCCCTTATGTTCAACCCCGCATCCGCCAACACCGCTGACAGCTGCCGCGGAGAAGAGGAGAGGGGAGATGGGAAAGTTGAAGGGGAAAAGGGGTTCAAATGAAAGGGATCTGCTGCTGTGCTGACCAGTAAATTCTCAGTTAAGCACTTATCACGCGCCTGGCTGAGCACTGAGCACGCACCTGGCTGAGCACGCACCTGGCTGAGCACACACCTGGCTGAGCAGCTTGGGGCGGTCGAAGGTGGAGAAGGTGACTTCATGCATGGGCACGTTGTGGTACGGCGCACTGCCATGGGGGGGGGCAGGGACAGCACGCGGGGACAGGACAGGACGCAGGGTAGGGCGCACGCAGGGAGGGGAAGGGAGGGCACACGGAGAGAGGGAGAGAATGAGGCGAGAGGGAGAGAATGAGGAGAGAGGGAGAGAATGAGGCGAGAGGGAGAGAATGAGGAGAGAGGGAGAGAATGAGGCGAGAGGGAGAGAATGAGGAGAGAGGGAGAGAATGAGGCGAGAGGGAGAGAATGAGGAGAGAGGGAGAGATGAGGCGAGAGGAGATGAGGCGAGAGGGAGAGAATGAGGCGAGAGGGAGAGAATGAGGCGAGAGGGAGAGAATGAGGCGAGAGGGAGAGAATGAGGCGAGAGGGAGAGAATGAGGCGAGAGGGAGAGAATGAGGCGAGAGGGAGAGAATGAGGCGAGAGGGAGAGAATGAGGCGAGAGGGAGAGAATGAGGCGAGAGGGAGAGAATGAGGCGAGAGGGAGAGCGGGGGTGGAGGCGAGGTGAGGCGGACGCATGCATGGCGGGCGTGGTTCATTCAGCCCGCCACACGCCACACGCTGCTGCCTCCACCAGGGCCGCTGCAACCCCACAGCCGTGGCTCCCACCACTGCCGCCTCGCCCCATAGCCACACACCCCACACCGCCTGCGGCCCCGCCCATCTACCTGAGCGAGGTGGGGCGGTCGTCATCCATGGCGCCCGCAGCGCCGTGCCCGCCGCCCGGCACCGGCGCCTCCAGATTCGGCGACGACCCAAACGCTGGCGGCGCTAGCGCGCTGCTCCACCGGGAGGAGGAGAACGGGGGAGAGAGAGGGGGAAAGGGGAAGGGGCGAAATTGAAGATTGCATGGCGGGAAAGGGCAATGGGTAGGTATGAATGAAGGGCAGTGGCGGAAGGGGAGGGACGGAGGTGCACGCAAGCGGGGGTGCAAGAAGAGACGGGAGAGAAAGGGTAGGGCGGGGCGCACTAGGCCAGGGGGGAAAGGGGCGCGGGTGACAGGGGCGGTTACCCGTGGGGCGGCAAGGCGGGGTGGTGGTCGTCCGTCTCCATGCTCGCGTGCGGCCCCGCCTCCTCCGCACCTGCTGCGCCGCCCGCTGCCGCCATCTGCGGGCAAGCGCGGAACGCACACACGGGGGACGCACACGCGCACGCTTGGGGAGGCGCACAGGGGCGCCTCGACGGCGCGCATTGCGGTGCGCCGGCAGGCCATAAGACAAGCGGGAATTGGCTAGGCGGGGGGAGAGCAACGAGGGATGCGCGAGAGTGACGAGGCGGGCGGGGGGCAGCGGGCGCGCGCGCGTACCCGGACGGCGCGGACGAAGAAGACGGGCAGCCCGTGCAGCCGCGCCGCCTCCTCCAGCAGCCGCTTGTGTGTCAGCACGTCCTCCGCGCGCTCCGTGTTCACGTCCAGCGCGTACCTGCCGCCGCCAAGCGCGCCATGCAAGCGTGGCGTGCATGGATTGCATTGGTATACCATGTCAGGTCATGCCACGGACAACCGCACACGCGCAAGCACACAACGAGTCAGGCAGAGCGTCAGTGCAACGAGTCCCTCCAATCGCATGCCAGCGATTCCGGCGATGGAATCGCGTGTGTGGGAACGACGGAAAAACGCGACGAAGCGGCGGGCCCAGATCGGGGATTGCAAATGACGCGACTCGCCTGGTGGGGAGGCGGTTGAAGTGCGCGAGGAGGTTGGCGTCGAAGCCGCTGGCCTGCGCGCTCGGGTGGCGCGCCTCGCGCAGCTTGCGCACCACCTCGTCGCACACCTCCCGCTTCACGCGCTGCCGCTGCCGCCTCTCCGCCTCCCCTGCCGCGCCTGTCGCTGGGCGGTCGCCGCTCGGGGAGGGGGCGGCGGGATCCATGTGCGCGCTCTACTGGCGGGCTCGCGCGTCTACCGCCGCACGCATGCACCTGGCGGCGCTTCTTAGCCCCGCCGCTACGCGCCTCACGCTACTACGACGGCCAGGCGCGAGGGGAGATTCGAAAAAACCAGGGAGACCTTCCGCTTCGCGCTCCGCGGAAACGAAGAGCGGAGCGCAGCCCGTCTACACGAGGACGGGTAGCCTCCCAGAAACGACGTGTGGACGGAAGGAATGGACGGCTTAATCGAGCCTATCCTACCGTCGCGCTGCGCAAAAAAATGTGACGATGCGAACGGGGTGTTGGTCGAGGGGGGATGACACCATGGCCGTGCTGGGTGGCGTCGTGCTTGCAGTGCAGTGGGTGTGGTGTGGGTGGCAGCGCCAACTCCTCTACTGCGTGAGCCGCACCAACGACGTTCTGAACATGGACGCTACTCTGGTCGCAACTCGGGTCACAGTAAACTCGCACAGCACCGACGCTGTTACGCCACTCGAGAACCACTAAAGCTATAATGAGTGTGGTTTGGAGCCATGACTGGATGGAATTGCAGGATGTGAAAATGTGCGTGAAGTTGAACCAGGCAGCCCAGAACAGCTTGAGCTGGAATTGCCCATGTGGACGCTTGGGGTGCGCCGTACCCTATTTTCCAGGAGGGTGTTCTCGCCACTGTATCTTGAAATGAGTTTGTTTGGATCCAGTCAAGTGCTCCCCGGAATACAAAATACAGAGCTCAAAGTTTGCTCCCTCTATTTGCTACTCAACACGCATGGGGTTTCGAGCGGGGAGTGGAGGGGAGTTTCTCTAAGTAACTGGAGTAGGGATGGCAAAAACTGCCATCCAAGAAACATGCAGTTGCCCTTTCGAGTACACTCGTGCTGCCTTCCTATTTACTATTTTCGTCCCAAACCCCACCAATCAGGGCAGCACCGAAGCAAGACTCTCACTCCACACCACAACATTTTGCTTTTCGTGGCTCCATGGGTTCCGATAGGGCAGCGAGCCAGCGTTTCATTGGAAGATTCTCCCTGACCGCAGCAGCATTTGCGCGCAACGCAAACCCGCCATTCGCCAAAGGCGCGAGCACCAACATTGGCCCACAAAGCTTCCATTCCGTGTGTTGGCAGGCCACTTGTTTCGAAACAACACTCTCCGACAAAAGAACCGATACAGTCTTGATCAGCCACCCTTACTATAATTGTAGACATGTTTCAAAGAAAAGATTGCTTGCATCTACACTAGCAAAACCATGAGGGCTCCAAGAGACTATTTAACAGTTCAGTAAGGATTAACCTCCATTTTGATGTCTAAGGTATATAGCAGCTACACTCTTTCAGCATATATCCCCACATGTGCATTACTTATCGGTCATAACATAACATGAAGTACCAAACCAAGTTCTGCCATAATATTTGCCTTTCACATGAGTCAGGCCTGAACAAAACATGTGAGTACTGTACACAAGTGTGCCCGGCTACTGCTGCGTTAAGGCAGTTAACTACAACTTCTGTTCAGATTACCACTTTCAGGTAATGTAGCCTCCCCTTGCCACATCACACATTACGCGGCATGGCCATGGGCGGTGCGGCGCTTGCTGAGCTCCCTGGCCACCGACTCCGCCACAAACTCCCTTGCCCACTCGCCCCCACCTGCTCCCTCCACCAGCACTGGCGCCTGGGGAAGGACAAGGAAGAAATGAGCAGAGAGCATGGCATGAGCATGGTGCGTGCGAGGTGTGGACAGGTCCAGTGCGATGGGCAGAGGCATATGATGATTGAGGGAGTGCAACGCACCTGCTGGAGAATGCTCAGGGCAGCATGCGTGCTGGCGAGGGTGGTGCTGCCATGGGCCAGGGGCTGAGTGGTGTGAGCGGCCTCTGTGGGGCACCACGAGGCATGGGAGAGCGCCCGTGAGGGCAGCGACAGCGAGCGCGGAACCGGTGGGTGGGTCACGAGCCACGAGGAGGAGGGCAGCGCTGGTGGCGATGACGGCGTGGGCAGGAGAGGCGGAGGTGCAGGTTGGGCTACGGTGGATAGGAAAGGAGGCAGTGCGGTGGAGAGGGGAGAGGGTGGTGAGGACATGGAAGAGGGGGGTTGTGAGAGCGTGCGGCTGTTGGTGAGGTGCTGGCGCAGCTGGGTGACTCGCTGCTCCTCCTGTACGCACGCACGGCGGAATGGCAGAGGAGAGTTTCAGCCGTCACCAGGTCAGCACATACCTCATGCCATGACATGCTCATGCATGACATCACGCGCTGCATGCATGCATTACCCTCACTCTGCACCCTCCACGCCTTCCAACCCAACCATCCTCATCACACCATCACCATCCTCATCACACCATCACCATCCCACCACCCCGCCTGTTCGCACCTCAGCTGCTCGCTTCTGGGCGAAGGCGAGGGAGGAAAGCAGGTGCGTGCGGGAGGCAGAGAGGGCGGGCGAGGGCGGGTGGGTGGCGGTGGTGAGGGCGAGCGTGGCGAGTGCTGAGAGGCGCCCCTCCGTCCACTGCACCGCCGCCTCGTACCGCTGCCAGCTTGCTTCCGCCTCCTCCTGTGCTCCACAGGCATCATGCACCACGCACACGCGCGCGCGCGCGCACACACACACACACACACACACACACACACACACACACACACACACACATACACACCGAGGAGACGGGTGAGGGGCATGCGATATGAGAGGGGCGAGGGGCGGGAGGCATTATGCATGAGGCACACCAAGGTGAGGGCTGCATGGTGCAACGGGGGGCATGTCACCAATATCCACACCCACCCCCACATCCACACCCACACCCACACCCACACCCACACCCACACCCACACCCACACCCACACCCACACCCACACCACACCCACCAGCTTCTGCTCGAGGGGTGATAGTGCCGCCTGCAGCGCCTGCGTCCTGCTCTCAGGGGCTGCTGCCGCGGGCGGGGGGGTGGAGGCGGGTGGCGTGGCGGGGTGTGCTGGTGCAGCGCGAGTGGACTGCTCCGCCTGTCTCAGCGCCGCCAGCACCCTCCCCGCCACCACCGCCGCCGCCGCTGCTGCTGCTGGATCGGCAGCTGCTGCCGTGGCTGCTCCACCCCTGGTGGGCCCCACAGCTGCCGGCAGCGCCATGCCGTACTGCTCTGCCACCCCCTTCAGCCACTCCGGACCGTTGCTCAACCACACTCCCTCTCCTCCCATCTCTCTCAACCGCGCTCCTCCCACTCCACTGCCCTCCTCCTCCAAGCCCACGGCCCCTCGCCCCCCTGAGCCCTCCCCACCCCCCCCTCCCCCACGCTGCTTCCGCCTAGTCGCCCTCCGCCCCTCCACCACCCCCGCCACTCGCCGCCGCAGCTGCAGGGTGGGGGAAGGTGAAGGGAAAAGGGAAGAGGAGGGGGGCGGGGAACAACCAGAGAGGGACGGTTGGTGACACCAAGTGGGCCGGATGGTTAAAGCTCGCGTCTCAAATTTCACCCTTCCGACCAAGTGTTAAACGCTTGGGATCCGGTAACAGCTGGGTTTGTCGCAAAGCACACCAAGGCAAGGGGTGGTTTGGGAAGGTTGGTTGGGAGAGGTTTGAAACAGGGCCTCGTTCCAGGCAAAACCAAACCAAAGGGAAACAACGTGTTGCAAAGTTGGTTGGGACAGGAATACGACAACGCAGGTTGGGAAACACACCTGCACGAACCAATCTACAGGTGTACAGAAAAACGTGCGACAACAGAGGCATCGTCGCACACTTCCCCGTGCAAACCAAGCATTTACAGCTCTCAGAATTATGAGACTCAGAACTCTCAACTTTGACAAAACGGTTCGTGTAGGCACCAGTTCAAGTGTTTTACCAGCCATATGCCACGTCTTTTAGTATAGCTAGCCTTGAAAACTCAGTCGCGATCATGATGTAGGGGAAACCGTGCGCCTATAGACCTTGGCGCATTCCGTGACCCGCATTCTCTAAGCCCGAACACGGGAAAATCATCAAATTTAGCGTGTCCAATCCCCACCTTCGTCCTCTCCTCGCCAAAAACTGCCGGCGTGGGGTTCATCGCCATTCATCAACCGCCCTTATTAGGTGAAAGGGGAAGGTCGCAGTAGCATGAAGGGTGGAAAGGACGATAGGGACGAGCCAAACGCGGCAAACGCGGCAATGGGGCGATATCACCGAAGTCGCGGGACTAAGGCCCGCCGAGACGCGGGAAAGGTGTGTACCCTGCCGGTGAGCGCGCGCACACCTCCCTTCAAGGGGCGCGCACCCAGCTGTAAGCAGCGCGCACACCGCAAGCAGCTGAGTGCGCCCCGCTGTAGGCATCACGCGCCACCTGAGCCTCAGCGCTCGCCCCGCTATAGGCATGAGGCGCCTCTTTAGCATCAGCGCGAATGCGCCTGTAATCTCACGCGCCATTCGTCACGTAATCGCGCATGGTGCGGGTATGTCAAGCACTACATGAGAGGGGGGAGGAGGAGAGGACAGAGGGGGGGAGAAGGTGCGCTGAGAGGGGGGAGGAGGAGAGGACAGAGGGGGGGAGAAGGTGCGCTGAGAGGGGGGGAGACCCGGTGCTACCCCTCCTATCCCCCCCTGCTTCTCCTCCTTTCCCCCCGGTGCTACCCCTCCTTCCCTGCTTCCCCCCATCCCCTTCCCTGCTTCCCCCCATCCCCTCCCCTTCTTCCCCCCATCCCCTTCCCAGCTTCCCCCCATCCCCTTCCCTGCTTCCCCCCATCCCCTTTCCTGCTTCCCCCCATCCCCTGGCACCCGCACTCTCACTCTCCTTTCCTCCCGCACTCTCTCTCTCCGTCCTCTCCCACTCGCACTCTCCTTCCCCCCACCCTCTGCCCAGTTGTCACCTGCCCTCCCAATGCCTGCCTTTCCCTCCCTGCCCTGCGCTTTCCTTCCCCATCCCTTCTCAACCCTTCCCTTCCTTTTCATGCCCTCCCCTTCCCCCTCACTCCTCACCTTCCACCCTCTAGTTCCCATGCACGTGCACCCATCACTGTCTCCCCATACATTATTTCATCATGTGCGCTTGCTTGTGTTCCCTTGCAGTTGTTCCCTTGGCACCTCACACCACCTCCCCCATGTTCATTCACACAATTCTTTCTGCCTACTCCACTCCCCTAATTTTCAGTGGTGAAGCAGAAGAGCAAGCTGAGGCGCAGCTAAAGCTAGTCCATGCTTTACACCGTACCACCACCTGTTTCTTGTGTGTTGTATGCAATCATGTTCTGCGGGGGGGAAGGAGGAGAGGACAGAGGGGGGAAGGAAGGGTGATATACCAGTTTGCGATAAATTCCCCTAATTTCCCCCCAATCCCCCCTCCGCTCCCTCTCATTCCCCCCTCTGCTCCCTGTCATTCCCCCCCCCCCTGCTCCCTCTCATTCCCCCCTCTGCTCCCTCTCATTCCCCCCTCTGCTCCCTCTCATTCCCCCCTCTGCTCCCTATCATCCCCCCCCCCCCCCCTGTTCCCTCTCATTCCCCCCTCCGCTCCCTCTCATTCCCCCCTCTGCTCCCTCTCATTCCCCCCTCTGCTCCCTATCATCCCCCCCCCCCTGTTCCCTCTCATTCCCCCCTCTGCTCCCTGTCATTCCCCCCCCCCTGTTCCCTCTCATTCCCCCCTCTGCTCCCTCTCATTCCCCCCTCTGCTCCCTCTTATTCCCCCCTCTGCTCCCTGTTATCCCCCCCTCCGCTCCCCATAAATTACAGCTCTGCTTTCCCATCAATTCCCCTACTGCACCAGGTCAATACAGAACCCCCTCTGCTATAAAATAATTTCCCCTTGTGCTCCCCATCAATTTACTCACTCCTTCCCCTCATTTCCCCCTTTCCCTCCCCTCCTTTTCAGCCTCCCTCTTCTCCAGCTGCTTCAGCCTTGACACTCAGGATTTTGTCAGAACTGGTCCGCCACGCATGAATTTTGTTAAGCTTTAGCTATTAAATAGTACCGGTTTGACAAGTACCCATGACATGTATCAATGTTGGATGCTTCTTTATAAAAATCACTTCAGTGTTTAGGATACTGAACTGAGCCATTCAGTTGATCACTACAAAGAAGTGCAACAAAGGTTTCCAGACAAGTCACCTTGCCTTCCAGACACAGCAGGTGCAGCAGAGGCAGCGAGGGAGGAGGGCAGGCCATAGCTGCCCTGGCGCCACCCACCCCCCACCTGCACCACACGCATCGCCTCATACCCCGCCACTGCCCACTCCCCCTGCACGCCCTGACTCGAACCAACTGCGCCCCCCACTGCCTTCTCGCCTCCACTGCCAGCATCTGCATCAGCAGGCTTTGTGTGTGGCGGCAGTGGCAGGAGGGCTGTTGCTTGTGTGCGACCAGGTGCGATGGCGGAGAGGGACGTCCACAAGCAGATGGACGAGAGGGCGTATGGCGGCGTGAAGGCGGGTGGGGGTGGTGAGGTGAGGGTGAAGGAGGGGGGAGTGGCTGGTAGCAGCGGCTGCAGATTCCACTGCACAAATGGGTTCAGAGCGGTGCAGTTGGTGTACGGCTCTCCTGAGGGAGAAGGATGGGGACAGGAGGGCAGGAAGAGGGATGGGGTAGAGTGGAGATGAGAGGGGAAAGGGGAGACAAGATGAGCACTCAGAAATAGAGCACAGAATCAAGGCAGAGGGTAATCAAGTGGAGGCGAGGAGGCGGGCAGCGAGCAGCAGCGAGTGGCCCACAAGCGCTACTGAAGCATCCACCCTGCTTCATCCCCACCTCTCACCTTCCCCACTGCCCTGGGAGCGGCTCTATAACCCCCCCCTCCCGCCCCTTCCCACTGCTCAGCACCCTGTCCTCCTTGTGTTCTGCCACTAAGCAGTGGCAGCAGGCAATCATACATCATGGTGATAATCAAGCACAAGGAATTCACCCACTCAGCTCGCACCCACACCACCATCCTTCCAAAACCCATGCCCCCTCTCCCCTCCTTGGCCTGCCCGCCGCGCATGCTCCTCCCACACTATCTGAACCGCCTTGGGGTTGGCCCCCGCTGCTTCTACCTCTGCTGGCTCTATTCCCTGGTGTGCAAGTCATCTCACTGCCTCCCACTGCTGCTTGGTCACTGCATTGTGTAATGGAGTCCCTGGGGGAGGGCAGAGGGCGGAGGGCAGAGAGCGGGGGGCGGATGGTGGATGAGAGAAGGCGGAGGGATACAAAGAGGAGGAAAGCGGCTCTGGAAGCAGATGCAGAGCCAGAGCAATTCAAGCGGGGTGCAGAGGGCACCGCAGGGTAGAGCGCATGAAGGCAAGAGGGCTAAGAAGCTGGGTGGAGAAAGAAACAAGCGAAGCACTTTCTACCGTTCTTGCATTGAACCAATCATGGCACTCACAGCCGCAAGGCACTCACAGCCGCCAGGCACGCACAGCCGCCAGCAGGCACATGCAGTCCACGTGGCCGCCATACGCCGCCACGTGCAGTGGCGTGGTGGCGTTGCGCGTGCTGCACACCCCCGCTGGCATGCCCATGCGCAACAGCGCCTGCAGCTGCAGGCACATGCATGGGAGAACGGCGGGGAGGGAGAGAAGCGGGCAGCAGGGTGAGTGCGGTCCATGCCTGCGACATTATTGAAGGTGCATGTGAGTGCAGGCACGTGGACGGGGAGGGATGAGTGCACACGCGTGATGGACGGTGGGTTCAGAGAGTGTTGAGCGGGCTGCATGGCTGTGCTGCATGGGTGAGAGCTGGTGCATGGCTGTGCTGCATGGGTGCAGGCGGGGAGGCAGGTGAGACTGACCACGGGGGAGTCACCATTCCGAGCAGCCACATGCATGGCGGTCCAGCCCCACTTGTCCACCACGCCACTCAGCCCCTCTGCTGACTCCACCCCGCATGCCCGCACCACATGCCACAGCCCCTGCCCCTCCTCCTCCCCACCACCCTCACCACTAGTACATCCCCTCCCCCATGCACTCACCTCCCTGTCAAAAGGGACGACGTCTCTCTTCCCCCTCCTCGGGCAGCACCTGCTCTCCCCCTCCATTCCCCCTCCCCATCAACCCGCGCCTTATTCCGCCCACCCCTAATCTCCTTCCGCCCATCCCTGATCTCATTCCGCCCTTCCATAATCTCATTCCATCATAACTACTCGCATTTCGCCCATCCGCAATCTCATTCCGCTCTTCATACTCTCATCCCTCCCTTCTTAATCTCGTTCCGCCCTTGTTCCTCTCATTCCGCCCTTCTTCCTCTCATACCGCCCTTTTTCCTCTCATTCCGCCTTTCTTCCTCTCATTCCGCCTTTCTTCCTCTTATTCCGCACTTCTTCCTCTTATTCCGCCCTTCTTCCTCATTCCGCCCTTCGTCCTCTCTTTCCGTCCTTTTTCCTCTCCATCCGCCGTTCTTCCTCGCATTCCGCCCCTCGTTCTCTCATCGCGCCCTTCATCCTCTCATTCCGCCCTTCTGCCTCTCAATCCGCCCTTCTTCATCTCACACCGCCCTTCCTACCTGTTTTCGACGTTCCAAATCGCATTACGCAAACCCTAAACTCATTCCGCACATCCCTACTCTCATTCCGCCCGTAGTAGTCGCAATCTGCCCTTCCTAATCTCAATCCGCGTTTTCCACTCTAAATCCGCCCATCCCGTCTCTCATTCCCGATCAAGGAAGATGCTCTCATACTAATCGTAAACGGGGGAAATAATGCTTAGCTGGCTTTCTATTTCGGTGTTACTACGGCTCAGCGACGGGAGTATGGTTGCTTGGCGTGGGCACTCATTTTCTGACTTCACACTTCTATCAACCTCAAAACGTGATTGCGTCGCCAGGGTGGGTCGCATAGTTCTCAATCAGACGCAAACCTGTCCCCCAAGGCTCGTCTTACACCCAAACCTGCCCACCCAGGTTTGTTTTGGCCTTGATTGTTGGGGAGTTCGCTGTGTTCTTTTCACCCGCTCGTGAAAACTTTCGTCATTCGTTACCCAATCACGGACGGGCAAACCCAACCAGGTGTTAAACCTTTGGAAATTTGAGACCCGAGCTTTAAGCTAGGGCGGATGGCAAATGAAGGAGGAAAGCGCGAAAAGCAGAGCGAAGCGACAGCAATTTCTGATGCTGTCCTCACCTCGGCCTGCTGCGCAGCCGTTGATTGCCCCTCGCTCCCCTCGCGCCCCGCTTCCACCATTTCTTCCGCCCGCCCCCGCCTGCCCTGGCGCACCCACGCCATCATCCGCTGCATGCGCCCCTCCAGCGCCGCCACATGCTGCTGAGCTGTCTGCTTACGTGGACTACGACTGCCGCCACCTGGACCAACAGCTGGCACGGCTGTAGCAGCAACCACCGCTACAGGCGGCAGCTGCCACGATACTTCTGCGCTCTGGCGTTCTGCCTCGGGTGCCGTCACTGCTGTCGCTGCTGCCTCCGCCTGCACTGCTTCCGCCCAAGCTGTTTTCGCCTGAACGGCTTCCGACCGCACTGCTTCCGCCTGCACGGCCTGCGCGGGCATGCTAGTTCCCGCCGCTGCTGCCGCCGCGGCTGATAGGAAGAGCACGCCTAGCCGGGACGCCTGGAGGGCGGGAGGGCGGAAAAGCGAGGGAGGGGGAGGGGACGCGGTGGGTCACGGGGCATGGGGGGGCGGTTGTATCGAGTAGGTCAGGAGATGGGCAGCGGAAGAGCACAGGGTTCGCGGCACAGACGGCACGCGCACGCACCAGCCGGTTGGGCGTCGAGGGCGCGCCGGAAGCAGCGCAAACCCCGCCCGGATATCCTTCTTCCGCCCGGCGGGTTCCGCGTGCCGCCTCGACCGTGACGGCGAGGCTCTCCACCATCGTCATGCCCATTGCGCCCTCCTCCAGAGACGGCGCGCGGAGCGGCGGAACGGCAGAGAGCAACGAGAAGGGGTCGACCGCCGCGGTGCCACTGGAGGGGGGAAAGCGCGGAGATTAAAAAGAGATGTGGCGTAATTGCGGAGGCAGAATCAGCGTGCAGCAGGGGGGCGACAAAAGGAGTTGTTGCGCGAAGAAACAAGTGGGTATGTGGCAGGGATAGATTAACCGTGGAGATTTGACGGCCGCAGCGCGACGGCGACGGAAGCAACTTACCGTGCGGCATCCAGGCTCAGTGCGGCGCGGACTCGCAGCGCCTTTACGCCGTGCGGCGATGCCGCCGGTCGATGCCACGGGCGCTTGAAGGCCGGGCCTGCGAAGTGAATGGCTGGAACGATGCGGGAACACAGTGGAAGGCGAGATTTAAATTAAATGCTTCACGCTGCGCGGTGTAATGGCGCCAATTACGGGAAATCCAGCCAAATTTGCGGGAGTGGCAAGGCGCCAATTTCAACGGGGCATTCCAGCGCGGATAGCGTATTGACGCCAGTCAATTGAACGCAGCGGAGTCGGGGCAACACCTAGCGCGGTAAGGAAGCCATTGCATGCGATGCTCGGGAGGGAGGCCGAGCGGCATGCGGTAGCGTACACACGCGCGCGAGCGCGAGCCGACCCTCACCTGACGGCCTTTGCGCCTCGCGGCTCCTCAGCCCCGCACCCGCCGCCCGCCATTGAAGTTGAAATTGCCCCCACGAGCGCTTGCTCCGCCTCCCCGCGCGCGCCTCAGCGGGCGGTAACCATTGCCGTGGCGCTACTGCTTGGCTCGCCATAGTCACGTTCATTTTAGCTACTAGGTCGTTCAGCTAACAAGCTTTCGGTGTTGCGCTGCACAGCTATTCAAGTGTGGGGGAAAGTGCGACAAAGCACAAAAGAAGATAAGTAGAAGCTTCAGAATTCAGGCAAGGCAGAATCCAGCTCTTCAGCGCAGCAAAAGTGAGGAAGAATGAAGGATTGGGACGGGTTTCCGTTCCAGGGTCGGAGAAGTCACGTGTGTGTGGTTGCAGCACGGCAGCCATGGCAGCACCAGCACTGTAAAACCGTGATGCATGCATCTTGACATTCCAGACTGCACCATTTCCTCGACATTTATTGGCAGGGCTCATTCCCCCTGATACGCGGCTCGGCTGAGCAACGCGAATTTCGAGAGTTTTGCTCAATTCCGCGGAATCGCGGTTCGTTTTATTTTCTCCACGTGGCATGCCTTCGATCGTGGGAACCGCGATCTGATTTATTGTTCCCACAATTTTTAAAAGAAAATATAATTAGGCTTAGTGAGTCACATGTACTACCCTGCCCGCGGACAAAAATAAAACCCCTAAAGGAAAAACATGCGTTAGGGATGCATCAACCCTAAACACATAGACGCAAGGTGTTTGGGGTTGATGCCTCTCTAACGCATGCCATGCCCGAATGGGTTTTATTTTTGACCGCGGGCAGCGCGGTACATAACTTAACTAAGTTTCTCTTGAACTTTGTGGGAACAATAAAACAGATCGCGGTTCGCGCGATCGAAGGCTTGCCACGTGGCGAAAATAAAACGAACCGCGCTTCCGCGGAATTGAGCAAAATTCTCGCGAATTTCAGATGACGCCCTGTCCGCCTCACCGTCACTCCCAATGCCAGCACTGCGCCACATCCGCTCGCTGTCACGCGTCGGCTGTCCTGCCCTCCCAGCCACACAACTTCCAGCAACCTCCAACCAACCTCTGGCGACGCTTCACGGTCTTTGACGAAAACTTTGAACCAATCAACGGAGATTGGCGAGGTTCGTAAAGTGCCCAAAGAGAACTCAGCAATATAGGCACGATACGTTTAGAGTTTCTGAACGCCAGAGTGGTGATTCACTCCTACACAGTCAGAACAGTGAGTATGAGCCACAATCCAGAATTAGATGGTCTAATCTAAATCATAACCAGCAAAGAACAGTGAGTATGAGCCACAATCCAGAATTAGATGGTCTAATCTAAATCAAAACCAGCAAAAAGTACGGTACCTATTTTACCCAGAATGTGATTGCAGTGATTAGAGACATGCCCGTCATGAGAGTTCTGTCTGTGCATTGAACTGAATCCTAGATGGGAGAATTATTATTTAAAAAATATCCTAAGCAGGGCTGTACAGCTTCCTTTTGCAAGTTACAGCTTTACAAACAAGGTCAGAATCATCTATCACCCAAAGCCCAATCATATCCATACTTCTGATTTTCTTCCCCTTTGTTGCGAATTGAGGTGGCAGTAGAGCAGGCAGCAACGTTCCCTTGGGCACGCGCACAGCACCATCGCGTCCAAAGGGTATCGAATCCACCTCCCTGAAATGCATCGCCTGAGTCAGCAGCACCCGCATTTGCTTCTGCTGCACGCCACTCCCCGGCTCCCCACACCCCACCTCAGCCTTGTCCATGTCCCCCTTGCTCCCTCCCTTGGGTGCCTGCGCACACAGCTTAGCCAGCTGGCCCCACGCAGAGACTGTAGCGGCGCGAGAACGAATCACAAAGAAGCTAGATGCCACGTCAGCAGTGTCAAGGTGGCCCCACATGTCCACGTCAGAGGGGATGAGCCTGAGGGCCTCGGTGGCCATGGGGTCGCCTCTCCACACGGCATCCACGTTGCTGAGGGACACATCAAAGCCCTGTGACAGCGCTGCCACCACCACCTCTATGTGCCGAGCCGTCCACCTGCTGCGCTCCCCCCCTCCCTCCACACCCTCCTCTGCTCCCTCCTCCTCAACCCCCTCGCCCTCCCCCTCCACTTGCCCGCCAGTATCCACCTCCTCACCCTCCTCCTCCTCCAACCCCTCCTTCTCCCTCACCACCTTCACCCCTCCCCTCGCTGCCAGCTGCCCCAGCCCCTGTGCCACCTGGCGCCTGCTGAGTGGCGGCAGATGGAAGGCAGCGAAACCTCGTGCGGACAGCTCAGCTGCCAGGCTGGCGTGGGGGACGATGAGGACGAATGAGCGCAGGCCGCTGCCGTCCAGGTGGCAGAGCCAGTTGTTGACCTCGTCCCTGCCGCCCCTCGGCACCACCACCAGCGACACCCGCTTGTCCTGTGCGCCAGGGGGTGGGGGAAGGGGAGAAGGCGGGGAGGGAAGGAAGGGCAGAGAGCAGCAGGGAAGAGAGTGAGTCGTTGGCAAGGCATGGCATGAGACGCAACGCGCTGGTTCTCACAGTTGCACGGGAGTGAGAGCAGAGCGCAAGACAGAGCAGAGAAGAGAGCAGGGTGGTGCACCTGGGCGACAGCGGAGAGCAGGGTGGTGCACCTGGGCGACAGCGGAGAGCAGGGTGGTGCACCTGGGCGACAGCGGAGAGCAGGGTGGTGCACCTGGGCGACAGCGGAGAGCAGGGAGTGCAGGTCGGGCAGGGAGTGCCCCACGGGCAGGTGCGGCAGCTTGCGAGCACACAGGTCAAAGCGCCTCACCCGCGCCATGCCCGGCAGCGCCCCTTCCATCCACGCCCTCACCGCCCCCTCCACTCCCCCCTCCCCGCCCCCTCCCCCACTGTCCCTGGCCCCCCCACCCGCACCTGCCCCCATCCCCGGCAGCAGCGGCACGAGGGGGGCGTCAGAGGGGGGGGCGGCGCGCTTGAGGGGGAATGCGAGGGAGAGGTTGGCGGGGAGGGGCGGGTAGAGTGAGAGCATGGCGCTGCTGTGCGCCCACTTGATGGCCCACGGCGACCACCTCCTGTTGCCCTGCCGACACGCGTACGAGGGGCATAAAGGGGAGGGGAGAATGGTGGTTGAAGAAAAGAGACGTTGGGGGAAATGATGCCACGGCGCGACCTCAACTCCCCGCTGCCTCTCACCTCTCTCTTCCCCACCTGTTCCCTTACCCTCTCCCCACCCCTCTTCCTCCTCCCCCCCCTCACCTTGTCGCGGAACCACTGGGTGGTCTTGAGCCCACCCACAAGGGGCTGCCGGCTGCCATTGTACCGTCGCTCGTCCAGCCACAGGCGAAACTGCCGCCACGGCCCGGGCAGCAGCGCCTGCCCCCACGTGCCCGTCACGGCGTACAGGAACGGCGCGCCGTGCGCCAGCGGGGGGAGCGGGTCGCCGCCCAGCCCGGGCACGAAGGACTGGCGCTGCAGCGACACGCCCAGCACGTGCGGGTCGAACTCCGCGCGCCGGAAGTAGTACCGCGCGAGGAGCCGCTTCAGGTAGCGGTAATACAGCGGGGAGACCACCACGTGGTCCTCCACCATCAGCGCCACGTCAGCAAGGCTCTCCGGCCACCACGCCTCCACCCACTGGCCCTGCACGCCCGCGCTTTGCGATCGGTACATCACGCGCTTCGGCCCGTGCGGCCACGCGAACGCGTCGATCTGCGCTATTAGGGAATGCGAGGCCGCCACACGTCTCGCGGCGCGCGGCGACCAGGGCGCGGCGTCGGCGCGCAGCGCGAAGGGGTGGTCGACGAAGACGTCGAGGTGGACTGGCTCCGCGTCGTACAGCGCGGCGGCGAGCGCGCGCAGGCAGCGCAGCGCGTACGCGGGGCGGTCGAAGACGAGCACCTTCACGTGCAGGCGGAAGCGCGCCGGGTCCACCTTGCCGTCGCCCAGCCCGCCGTACGCCCGCGCCACCCCCGCCGGCAACCGCCACGGGCGGCCGGGCAGCGCAACGACGCTGTCGTTGATGTATGCTGACGCGGATGACGCCGATTGGTCGGCCGGCTGAAGCGAGTCGTCGTTGCGGCAGGGGAGGTCGGTGGGACGCGGCGCGTGGACGCGCAGATCGAGCCAGATGCGGAGCGACGCGGAAAGCAGCAGCGCCACGAAGACAATCTCCGTGAATCTGTTGCGCTCCGTGACGGCGGTCATGGCGGCTGACAGAAACCGAGGCTTGCCGCCTTCTGACGAGGACGATCGCGTTGCGATCTTGGGGGAGCCGCTGTGGCGCGGCTGAAGGGACGCCATGAGCGAAATGTCGCCGCGCGTCAATGCCTAGCTTTATGGAGTTGATGACACCAGCATTGCTCCAGCAATCAGACAGACTTAAGAGGAGCCCGATGGGTTGGCTGCACCTAATTTTCCTAGTATTTATAAGATGCTGGGTGCCTTGGAGTGGAATACAGAAATGTGGCTCAAATTGATTACACAATTAGGGTTGCGCACTGCAGTGTATCTGCGAAAGTGCGATTTTTGCTTGAATTCGCGAAATTCTACATCCTCTAACCTGATAGGTGACGGGACATCAGCCTTCGCCACAGTTCGCCACGTTACGCCAATGCCTCATCAGCCACACAAGCCTCTCGTCAGCAGCACCTGTTCCCTGTCCGTCTCGTGCCCCCCTGATGGGAATCCGAAGCAAGGCGAGCGGCGCGCTGAGCCCAGAGCTTGTCAGGCTTGGTAGGGAAGTGCTTCGGTTCGGACAGCCATTGCAGCATCACTCCACCACACAACACTCCCCTCCAGTTTCGCTGGTTCATTCCAATTTCCAAACCACCACAATGTAAAATCAAATCGGTGGGGTGCGGTTCTGTGCTCTAATCCCAAGTCTGTTGTCCCTCCTGACTCCCTGCATCCTGCCGCCCTCCCCTCCCCCACTTGAACCGTCATTCTCGGCTTGCTCAGGCCAACCGCACTTCTAGGGTTTCACCTCATTAGTTGCCTTAGAGGCTAGTCTTAGAAGAAACTAGTGCAGCGATGGTTGGCTGGCGACCGTGGTGGCCCAAGCCGCGTCCGAAGCCTCACGACACGGCAGGGGAGCTCAATCCGGTGCTGCTTATACCGGGGATTGGAGGCTCCATTCTTAACGCGGTCAGCGAAGATGGGAAGACGAAGGAACGGATATGGGTCCGACTTTATAACGCGGATCAGGAGTTCCGCACAAAGCTTTGGTCCAAATACAATCCTAAAACAGGTTAGAGTTCTTCCACTGTGGAAACTAGTTTTTTACTCATGCTTCCAGTCCTCTTACCCGCTCACCTGCTCTTTCCACTCTCCCGCTCTCCGCTCTCCCGCTCACGGTGTGTGGTGGTCGCAGGCAAGTCGGAGTCGCTGGACGACAAGTCGCACATCGAGGTGCCGGACGACAACCACGGGCTCTACAGCTGCGACATCCTCGACCCCGACGTCGTAAGCACCTCTTAGCGTCCACGTCGTAAGCACCTCGTCGCTTTGGATTCGTGAGCATCTCGTACCTTCCACGTCGTAAGCCTTCGCTGTGCTGCGTGTGGATTACGAGTCCAGCGAATGCTCGCTTCCTTGCCGTCACTGCTCGCGAATGCTCCGTGCTGCGCCTCACACCCACGCTGTCTCACATCTGCAACGTCATCTCAACCTTTAATTTATTCCCCCGCCGGTCCCCTCGGTCCCCGCGGCAGTCGGTACCGTTGGACGTGGTGTGCTACTACCACCACACCATCGTCGAGATGCGCAAGTGGGGCTTTAAGGACGGCGAGACGCTCTTCGGCTTCGGCTACGACTTCCGCCAAAGCAACCGGTCCGCCTCCCGCACTGCTCTTTCGTGTCTTATCATTTTCAAGAATTTCGAAGTTTATTTCAGTTTCAAGTGTCAACTACACCTTTCAAACGCTTTCTCGGTTGCCACCTGGTGCGTGCACGTGGCAGGCTGCCGGAGACGTTGGACCGGCTGCGCGCGCGGCTGGAGGCGATAGTGGCGGCGAGCGGGCGGCGCGTGGACGTGGTGACGCACAGCATGGGCGGGCTGCTCTTCAAGTCGTTCGTCGCGCTTCACCCCGCCGACGCCAAGCGCCTCGTGCGCAAGTGGGTCTCCATCGCCGCGCCCTTCCGAGGTGCGCGCGGACACGAGCGGGGATGGTTGCACGCGCGGGGGGAGGGGTGGGGGGCACGGGAATGGCGGCCGAGTTGAGCGAGCATCGTGTGTCAGTCGGCGTGCGCCGACTGCTTGTGAGGAGCGTTGCGGGATGGATGTGCGTTGCCACCGCTCCTCCGCACCCGTTCCTTTCGTCTCCCTCTCCCTCTCCCTGTCCCCCTCTCACGCCCTCTGCCTTCTACACGTCCTCCCATGCCCTCGCTCTCTATCTCTCTCGCCCTCCCGCTCATGTCCTCCACCTCGCCTCACGCCCACTCTCCTTTGTCTGTCCCGCCCGTCCCCTTCGCGCGGAGCTGGCAGGCGCGCCGGGGTTCATAATGGACACGCTGCTGACGGGGGTGGAGTTCCTCAAGGGCTCCCTCTCCCCCCCCCGCTCCCCTCCCCCGCGTGTGTGGCAGGCGCGCCGGGGTTCATAATGGACACGCTGCTGACGGGGGTGGAGTTCCTCAAGGGCTGGCAGAAGTCGCTCTTCATCTCCAAGTGGACCATGCACCAACTCGTACGCCGCTCCCAATCCCACTCCTCTCCCTCCCGTTTCCCTCCCCCCCCTTTCCCCCCCAACCACCCCGCTTCCCTCCCCAACCCCACCACCTTCCCCCCACAACCCCCCGCTTGCTCGTGCTCTTTATAAAGTATAATGGTTTCTGTTTGTTTTAGCCATGTGCTTGTCATTTGTAAGGGACATGGTTCTTGCACCTACTTTCCCCCCTAAATCACCACGTTCCCCTCCCCAACCCCACCACCTTCCCCTCACACCCCCCCTCTTGCTCGTGCTCTTTATGAAATGTAATGATTTTTGTTTGTTTGCTTTTTTTTTTTTCAGCCATGTGCTTGACATTTGTAAGGGACATGGTTCTTGCACCTACTTTCCCCCCTAAATCACCACGTTCCCCTCCCCAACCCCACCACCTTCCCCTCACACCCCCCCTCTTGCTCGTGCTCTTTATGAAATGTAATGATTTTTGTTTGTTTGCTCTTTTTTTTTTCAGCCATGTGCTTTACATTTGTAAGGGACATGGTTCTTGCACCTACTTTCCCCCCTAAATCACCACGTTCCCCTCCCCAACCCCACCACCTTCCCCTCACACCCCCCCTCTTGCTCGTGCTCTTTATGAAATGTAATGATTTTTGTTTGTTTGCTTCTTTTTTTTTCAGCCATGTGCTTGACATTTGTAAGGGACATGGTTCTTACACCTACTTCTCAGAATCCTGGAATGAGACATGAGCTGATGAAGAATCTTAGATGATCTATGCGAAAACGTAGCGAAGGTACCATGCAAGTGACGTACCCGTTGAGTGCTGATAACCTTATCCTTTTATTCAAGATCCTTCATGAGATAAGGTTATCAACGCTCAACACTTGCATGGTACCTTCGTTACGCTTTTGAATGGATCACCTAAGATTCTGCATCGCGTGTGTGCCGCGCGCATGCGTGGGCTTGGCGCGCAGATGGTGGAGTGTCCGTCGGTGTACGAGCTCATGGCGGATTACGACTTCCACTGGAGCGGCCAGCAGCCCCTCTAGATGCTCGTCTCACCTCTTCATCCCCCTTTCCTCCTGCTCCTCTCCTGCTCGCATGTGGTACGCGCGCGCAGATGGTGGAGTGTCCATCGGTGTACGAGCTTATGGCGGACTACGACTTCCACTGGGGCGGCCAGAAGCCCGAGCTCCGCATCGTGCGCCGCCAGCCCGACAGCAAGGCGCATGCGGAGAGGGACGTGTGTGGCGGAGCGGACGCAGAGACGGACAGTGAGAGCGAGAGTGGGAGCGAGAGAGACAGCAGCATCGGCAGCAGCAGTAGTGCCGATTCCTGAGTTCCGACTACCCACGTGCCTCGTTTACCAGTGTTGTGTTGCTGCTGTTCATAAATCGACTCCTACTTACTACCTCAGATCAATTTGTTTCGCGCACCGGCACGGCCTCGCCTTTCGTACACCATCACCGCGGTCCGGCATGGAGGTGAAGCGATCGCAGCAGTGGAAGTACGTGCTACTAGCGGCAGTGCCGGGCGTGCTGGCGCTGCTGCGGCTGATCAGCCCCGTGCAGGCCAGCTGCCTCGTCATGCTCGCCTACATCCTCTCGCGCCGCCACTCCAACGAGATCCAGAGCCAGTGGGACCGCGCGCAGGCCGCCAAGGAGGCGTCGCGGAGGGCGGAAGAGGAGGCCCTGGCGGCGCTTCCCGCGCGCAAGCGGAAGGCGATTCAGCGCGCGCGGGCGAAAGAAGCGGCGAGCGCGGAACAGGCAGGGGGAGACGCAGAGGACAGCGGGGAGGGTAGCGACCAATAGCGCGCAGCCGCACGGGTGCACCTATGGGCATACGTGGCAGTGGCGTACGAATAGTAGCTTTACGTCATGGCCTCCTCTCGCTTGACGAGATGCTCTCGTCCGTTCGGCCTAGCGCCCGACGCCTTCCAGATGGCATATAATCCGCATTTGGTGGCTCTGATTGTAAGATCTGGGTTCACCCGCTGAAAGCAGATTGAGGTGGCGGAGAGAGGACACGGCTGATGGGGCTGCGTGGTCTAGAGAGCTGCGCTGCAGTAAGCAGGGCGTGCGGTGCAGGGGAGGCCTGGAAGCAGGACTCACAGCCTGGCAAGTTGGGGAGGCTCAGTGACAAACAATGGTCCACAAATGCAGAGTTCCCATGGACTGGGCTGTTAGTGAGGCGTGCTGCCTCTCCCCTTTTCCGCTGATCGTTCAGAAGTACTCCTGCATTGGGAATGTGGCTCACATGTCTGCTTTGCAATAATGGTGATTTTGCAGTTGATTTCATATTGGAGGCATTGGGTATGGTATGGGTCTGTATTCTGAACCCAGAGACAGGCAACATTCCGATCTTCAGCGCTTATGAACTGATGGACGACTCAAGATTGGAGCACCTGCTCTCTGCAACATGCGTACCAGGCTCTGTCGGCCAATGCTTTTGCCACAAGTGGTACAGGGATAATTGTACAAGAGAAATGACAAAAAGAAAGCCTGTCATGACATACCATCCTAGTGCAGGGCCTCTCAACATGTGTTCAAAAGACAGGAGGTGCTGCGAGAGGCAGAATGGGGTCCCGAAATGCCATGGTGGGCCCACGTCAGGCCATGGGAAGGACATGAGGGTCATGGGTAGTGCAAAAGAGGTCACGTTCCACAGGTTGGTGCAGCAGCTGGTCAGATCCCTGGTGCCTGCAGCAACATCGGAGGGAAAAGGGATTGTGATAGACTCAGCAGTGCACTCCTGCCTTAAATGATCAGCCATAAATGTTACTGGAAGATAATTCGCTGCAGCACCGAAATGATCACCGTTCACAACAGAGCACTGACCATGCGTATGTGCAGAGTGCCAGAGCAAGTTGAAGTCACGAGTCATTCTCAGCCAATCCAGAGCGACGACCCGTGGGAGGTTGATGTGGGGTAGGCTGGATGCGCGCACAACACAAGTCAATCCACACACCAGGCACATCAGACACTGCATGTCAGTCTCACACTGAATGATGCTGAACCAGCAAGGAGGGCAGAAAGGGTGGCATATGCTTGCAGAAACAACATCTGCATACAATTGAGTACGGGTCGCCTTACATAAATGGATTACACATGCAAACACTGGAATTCTTTTTTTCCATTCTTCATTTTGACAGAACCCTAATGTGTGGAACCTAGCACGCCCCCGTACCTCTAGCTTCGGCTGTAGACCCTGCTCTGCTGGTGCTGCCGGCTTGGCGCCCTTTTGCTGCTAGTGGAGGCACACCAAAGGCACGGAGAAAAAGCAGATGCGGGGACGTTTGGGTTGAGATGGGAATGCCAGCAAGCAGACACGACGAATGCGACAGGATGCAATGCAATGCGACGTGATGCGTGCGACGCGATTGTACCTTTTGAATGGCCCACTCGGCGGAGTCGAAGAAGGCCCTCTCGTGGCCCTGCAGGTATACGTGGCGGGAGACGCGTGGCTAGCGGGTGAGTCATCATGAGCTCCTTCGGAAAGGGATTGACCCGACGAATGGGAGTACATCGAAGCAGAAAGACTATGCGTTTGAAATCAATCAGAAATGGAACAGAACGTCCAATCGTAAGCAATATTGACGCACGCAGACCAGCGAACAAGATCAAAAGAGTGTATTATAATGGAAGAGACGATAAGGCAGAAGGTAGGCATAACACCTTGGAAAGCAGCCCTTTTTTCTTAGGCAGAGCCCCGCCGTACTTCTTCTTCAACCGAGCCTCCTGCATGAATCATGGATATAAGATGGTGGTGCATGTATCAAGGAGCATGAATTATAGACGCTGGACCTAAAGCATGGAGCATAAATGGTGGCGAACGCCACGAGTGAGCACGGCCGCGGGTCTTATGTCAAGCGATCAAGTGAGTGGGGACGGAGTGCATGTAAGATCGCCAGCCGTCACGGCTTACTTAGGAGATAGCTAAGGAAAGGACGCATGAGGAAAGAACAGGAACGCGGAAACATAAGCGCGGTGTAACTGGTAACGTTGCACTCGAAGAAAATCCATGAAAAGGTCGGAAGCACGGTGACAGCCGGTTCGTCAGGCTAAGGTGACGAATCGGGACCCGAATGTGTCAAAGAAGCATCAGACTCGAAAGGAGAACGTCCGCGCGAACCTGCTCAGCAAGCGACACCTCATCTGCCATGGCGCTTCCACCGGGGCTCACAGCTCAGAGTAAAAGAGCAGGGCAATCGGCTCGTCCGTAACGTCAGGCGAAGAGCAAGTGCAAATGAACGGTGGAAGGCGTTGAGCGATGCGTGGACGAGCAGGTGCGGGACGCTGTAAAGATAAGACGCTGGGAAATAAGAGGCAGATTTCTAAAAATCAAACTGAGCAAAAAATTGTCACGCCATGACAGCTCTTGCTGACGTTATGGTCCTTCCCTGACCTCGCCTCGCCCTCGCCTCACCTCGCTTGGTCTCGCCTCGGCTCGCCTCGCCTCGCCTGATGCTCACCCCGCAGGTCAGCCGAGCCTCGGCAGTTCCGTGGGAAAGGAAGCTGCCGCTTGACGATTGGTCGGAGCTCGCAGACAAAACCTGTGCCTTCTCCCAGAGCGAAATATACTACTGTACATGTTTGAGCCTAGAAGATTCCGATGAAACTCATCACCTCTGTTAAGGTATAATCTTAATCACACTAGATAGCATATGTTGCAACACAGCAAGTAGTGATCCAGTCTAATCTTAATTCATATGAGCAAAACTATATACTACAGTGTATTGCTACCCTTCATACGCTTCCCTATGCACACCTGTATACAAAGCTTCCCCTATTGAAGTCATAAACTCCATCTTGGCCGCTGGTCCTGCACCACTTGCTGCCTCGCAGTGATAGTTGCTGCAAGCCGTCCCCTCCCTTTAGATTGGATTGATGGTTTCCCTACCAGAACCTGGCGAGTTGCCTCGCAGGAAGCACTTCTTAATGATGTACTTGGGCTACAGGAGCGTCGTTCAGACAATGTATGCCGGGTATGATTCCTCTCACACAATACATGCCACACGTCGCTCGTGCATCCCGGTGAATCCTGGTGGCAACAGGAGGCTTGAGACTGCCCATCTCGCCTCAGTGACAGGTCATCATCGGGTAGTTCCAAGGTGCTGTTTGGGGACCAAGGCTGCCCCTGCAACTGGGCTTGAATCGTCCTCCTCACAACTGTAATAGCAGGCCTCGCTGTGGGAAGAGAAACAACCTTCGCTTCTTCAACAACAGCTCTCGCTGACGTGGCAATACACTCCGTATCCTTGCTCATCCAATTAAACAGCTTGCCGGCCTCTGCAGCCTCCCACACGTCCCGCGGCGACTGCACGGGCGAAAGCACCGGCGACTGGCTCCGGATTCGCGTGGGCGTGGCCTGTCGCTTCAGTCGCAGCAGCAGCGGCGCGATGTCGCTCGACAGCTGCTTCCTCAGCGTCACGCGTCCCGGCGCCGCGGGACTCTCCGTCCCCCGCGGCGGCCCACCCCCAAACCGTCCCTCCCGCGGCCCGCTGCTGCTTCTCATCGCGCCCCTCCGCCGTTCGCTCCCGCCGCTGCTATCAGGCATCCCCGGAATGGGTGTCCAGGCGTGAGCGGGCGCGGATGGCTGCGCCTTGGGTCGGAACGACTGCTGTAGCAACTCCGCCGTGCGCTCCTGCGACGCTCGGCGACTCGCAGACCGTCGCGTGGCGTCGTCAGGAGGGCTCCCCGCGCACGGCGGGGACGATGGTGGCGCAGGCGCGGGGGACGAGGGGCGGTGCATGGCGGCGTGGATGCGCGTGAGCGCGTGTGAGAGCTGCGCGCTGGGGCTCTTCATGGCGTGGCGCGGGGAGGACGGGAGATCAACGAGACAGCCCTAAGGGGCACGCGATTAGTTTTCGTGACTTGAATCTGCAGGAAAGCAGCGAGTGGTGCCTTCAACTGGAGAGCGATGAGGCGAAGGAGACTTGCGGATAAAGAGAAGCGACGAACGAAAATGATGCGCCGAGGAAGGCAGCAGTGCTACCCTCGGTACGTGTCTAACTGTCATGACTGGTAACTTGGAAGAACTATAGCGCCGAAGATATGAAGGAGGATTGGGAGGTTTCAAGGACTGCAAGGTGGCAGCGGCAGCGAGCGTGTGCGCGAGGAATGAAGGGAAGGTGAAGCGGGCGTCGGTTGAAAATGCAGCAGCGGGCTTCAGCTGCTGCTGTTCACGCGGAGGGCACTGCACGGCAGCCTCGAAAGCCCTGCAACGATATGTGAGGTGGGGTATGAGATGGGCTGAGAGGTTGCGCCGCGATTGGGGAAAAGAAACTTGCGACGCAAGGTTGTCCCACTAAGAAAGAACTATTACATAAATTCATAAATTGATTAATTACAGAAAGTACAAACGATCTGAACAGATGTAATAAGATATGCAAGTACAGCAGCACATGAAAACAAAATCGTACATGACACGCAACACGCCGGCTGTCAAGATAGCCGAAGCAGGGAGGAGGACAAGGAATCAAGGAATGGCACTGCCATGACACACCCACACAGCAGCACAACTGCAGCAGTCACCCAGAACGACAAGCTCGACAGGCCTGGCTGTGGCTTCCCACTCGCACTGCCTGATCCTGCCGCACCTGCCTCTACTGCCTTCCCTGCGCTAAACGCACCAGCAACACCCGTCTTCCTTCCTGTTCTAATCACCCTCCGCACGCCCCCCTCTTTTCTCTCTGCCCCTCCCTGACCTCCTCCTACCCTCAGCTCCCTCCCCCCTTCACTGCCCTTCCCTTCCCGCCCCCCCACCACCCCAGCAGCAGCTTCCACCACCCGCCTGCCCTTCCCCGCGCCCTTACCCCTCCCCTCCGCACCCTCCCCCTGCGCTCTGCTGGCGGCATCAGCACCACCCTCTGCTGCGTGTGCTGCCGACGCCAGTGAGGCGGTGTAGCCGTCCACGAGGTCGGGGAAGAGGTTGCGGAACACGGGGCTGAGGGGGAGGGTGGGGTGGAGGGGGGGATTAAGGGGGGGAGAAAGAGGGGGGGTTTGGAGCAACAGGCATAAAGGGACGTGAAGAAGGAAAGATGCAGTGTTGACCAACTGACGAAGGATTGCTGAGAGGAATCCATATGGAATGAGGGCGTGAGGAACAAGGGCGAGGGGAACGAAGGCAGGCTAATGGGATGTGGAGAGGAGGTTAAGCAGAGCGCAGCATGCAGGCAGCACGAGCGGCACCTGCGACAGTTGTTGGGCATGGAGAGGCGTGCTAGCTTGCGCCTGTCCGCCTCCGACGCCACTATGCTGCCCGCCGTCACTGCATCGTCCGACTGGCCCAGGGAGGGGAGAGGGGGAAGGGCGATCGGATGGGGATGGGCAGTGCGGGAACAGAGGGGGGCGGATGGATTGTGAGGACAAGAGAAGGCAGAGGAGTGGAGAGAGAACGGGGGAAGAGCTGGGAACAGGGAACAGGGATGGCGGGCAGGAAAGGCATGGACGCCAGTGAGTGAGTGCATGGACATTGCATGCACAGAACATCACAGCACATCGGGGAACACTAATGTGTGAGTGCGCACAACAAATTACGCATGGCTCAGCAGTCTTCCAAGCACAGCCTGCTTGCGCGACGGGACGCGAATGCAATACCCGTGAAGTGAACGTGAGAGTGCGGCCAGAAAAGCACGCACAGTACTGCGAGAGCACAGCGCCACGTCAGCACGTACCATGAAGGAGAGAAGGCCGGTGAGAATGCTGCAAACGATGGGGCAGAGGACAGCGGGATGGAGGGAGAGATGAAACCAGTGATGATGGGATGAATGGAGCTCAGGCCACGAGGACTTGGAGTGGTGTGATGGTATGACGGAAACGTCAAGGGTTTGAGAGACATCAGAGGGAGACTCCTTGTGGATCTTGAAGCAATAGAGCACAGAAAGTGCAGCGTTACGTGCATTGATCGCATGGGGAGAGAGCGAGGGCGTGAAAGAGCGAGGGCGTGGCAGAGCGATAGAAGGAGAGTGGGGGTGTGAAGAGAGCGGTACCTGGCGACAGACCACATGGGGTTCCACGTCTCGGGGTGGACTGCACACAGCCACAATACGAGTAGAAGGGGACACGGGCAGTCAGGGGGACACGAACCATGAAAGCAGAACCAGCAAGCCATGGAACGAGCGAGAAGCAGTGCAAAAACCAAACGCTGAGCTTAGCTAATACAAGGAGCATTGTTCAGTCGCCCGCCCACTCACAATCCCCCGCCCACTCACAGTCGCTCATGCTCATGCATATGCGAGTGCTGGTGGCGAATCGTCCGTTGGGGGTAAGCATCATGATGCTTGGCGGTTTAAAGGGGTAATCGGCAGGGAATCTGAGCCGTCCGTGGTACCACCCGTTCTCGTACGGTGTGCCGGGGCTGCCTTCCAGCACGAAGTCTGGCGCGCGGAGAGGACGGGGAACGGGGGGGGGGAAGGCGGGGGGGAGGGTGGGGGGAAGGGGGTGGTGGAGGCTGTTGATTGGCGAGAAAAGGAAACGCTTAGAAGGAAAGGTGGTGAAGCAATGGAGGTGGTGACGTCAGATATGTGAATGCTGACGTGGAAGTGAACAATGTGAGAAGCCGGCGGAAGAACGACGGCAAGATGACAGCAGGAGGACAGGGATGACGGTGGGAGCAAAGGAGCGCGCGGAAAGAGCTGAAAGGGACGGCCAGCGCGAACGCATATGCAGGGTGCGGCCACTCACGCCAGTCCAGCATGTCGGCGGGGTTCGGCTTCGCGCGGATGTGCGGCGGCGGCTCCTGAAAGAGAGGCGATGCGGGTCGCACCACAACGAGCGGGAGGAAAAGGATAGTCCGGCTTAGACCAACCGCTCACCGAATAAGAAATTAAGAAAGATCCTAGTCGACCGCAGCCAGAGGAGCGACAAGTTATCATCGTGAACTCGAAGAAAGAGAAAGCGACTAGAACTATTGGGCAATGGCGAAAACGACGGCTCGGTGGCTGTCAGCACTGTTTTCAAGGCACCTAGAGAATTGGACACAAGGCGTCAGCACCTTGGTAATTAACTTCATTTCTCGCTGTAGCCGCTGCAGGCAACCCTTAGACGGCGTTGCTCCTCCGCGAGAGGCCATGCTGGAACGAACACTTCGAAGCGCGAGCGGCAGTCACGGAATTACAGAATCTAGGGTTAGAGTGAGTGGAACGCACAAACGTCAAGAAAATGGTACAATCTAGGAGTACTAAGGGAAAGCTCTAGGTCCAAGTATTTTTAGGGTACCAAAAAAAGGGGTATTCGGCGCGTTCTTGTTGTGTTTGCCTTATGCGGTTCAGTTGGGTTCCTCACGATCTAACATGGTTCTCGAGGTTGGTGGAGTAGGCTTTCTAGCGAGTCCGCGCAGATGGAGAACTGGCGGAGAGAGGAATGCGGGACGGGGAAGGTTGGCGGACAGCACAGCACAGCACCACTGGTGCGGCTGAGTGCTTCTGCGAAGCCAGGAACCCCCACGGTGGTGCGATACAGCTCCCACCCTACGCGCAACTGCGGGGGGCTCGTAAAAAAATAACTTTGCAGACCTTTAAAATATTTTTCGCGACGAGAATTGGTCAGCCTGGAGAAATATAGCCAACCACTACAAAAAATCATTATCTTCACCAATGGGGCACTGCCCTCCCCCGCAACGTGTTTTTCCGGGGCAATTGTCCCTGCCCGGAACTACTTGTGCTATCCCTGGGTCCGCGCTCCGAGCGGGAACCAGTCTCGCACCAGTCTCGCACCCAGTTTGCATGGGAGGAGGGGACAGCACAACACTACTGGTTCAGCGTTCTTTTGCGCTAGGTGGGCCGCACAGCACAGCACATCACTGGCCAGGTTCGGGATAGAGTTCAAGGTCCCGAGCCTGATTCAAGGAATGCGCCTTTGGAATGGAATCTTCGAGGATCACCAGTAGAGGCCCTCACAAAACATCATCTATGCCCTGTTTGGAAGCCACCCCAGTCATCCTGCGGCTGGTGCGGGGGATCTTATGTTTCCCAAATTCGAAACATGTTAAAGCCCACCAAATCGTTATTAGAACACCGAGCCTGTCCAGTGCGAGTTGGCTACCGAACGCGTAAAAACCCCACTTCGACTGGGTGCTAGGACACCACCACGAACATGTCGCTCCCAGGCAAACTCAACCGTCAGTGAAAGTCCCTCCCATTTCAACTTTCCAGTTCAACCCAGGCATACCCTCTCAGAGTGGGAGGCTCGAGGGTATACGCTGCACTAGTATCAAGGAAGTATCGCAGAGCGATGTGCTTTGTTCGGTGCTCCAGTCTGTGCTCCTGACACAAGGCAATCATGGCCTTGTTGTCTACGTACAGAACTGGAGGCGAACGAGGCTGCTCTCCTAAGTCAGTCAGCAGGTAGGTGAGCCAGCGTAGCTCCTGTGCAGCCATGGCCTCGGCGTAGATCTCAGCATCACAACTGGAGCTGAGAACCGAAGACGAGCGAGTAGAGCGCCAGGAAACAGAGCTGGAACCGAGGCTGAAGGTGTAACCCTGTGACGACCGCTGCGTAGCTGAGTCGTCAACCCAAGAAGCGTCTGCGTGACCAGTGAGGACGACTGGACCCCGTCCTCCAAGCACGAGCCCCATGCCCGACGTACTGCACAAGTAACGCACTACCCTCTTCGCAGCATCCCAGTGCACCTTTTGGTGCCTACCGGGAGCCACGTAGTGAGCCAGGAGGCTGAGAGGGTCGAGGTCAGGTCGAGTGCACGTCATCAGGTACATGAGGCAACCCACAAGCTCTGGGTACAGACCACTCGGCTCTACGGACTCGTCCGAAGGTGGAAATGAGAGAGAGTGGCTGGTAGACAGAGGAGTGGGCTGTGGCGAGGAGAACTGGAAGCCGAAGCGCTGAAGGACCTGGTGCACCATGTGTGACTCAGTCCATGTGATGGTGCGCCGTGCTCTGTCCTGGGTGATCTGCAAGCCAAGATAGCTGCGCAGTTCACCCAGGTCAATGCAGGTGTGTCTCTTCTGCAGCTCCGACTTCACAAGGGTCAGTGCCTCAGTGTCAGCAGTGGCAAAGACCAGGTCGTCGACGTATACGAGGACGTAGAACGGCGGCAACCACGTGTCGGTGCGTAGAAACAGCGACAGGTCAACAGTAGGAGTAAACCCCAGAGCCGCAAGGGTAGTCTTGAGTGTGTCGTGCCACTCGCGAGGCGCCTGGCGGAGACCGTAGACAGGCCGCCGAAGGCTCCACTGAGTACCTGCAGGAAACGACCCAGTGAAGCCAGGTGGGCGGCGCAGCCAGATCTCCTCGTGCAGGCTGCCCTGCAAGAAAGCTGTGCAGAAGTCCAGAGAGTGCAACTCGTAGTCACGCTGAGCAGCGACATGCAACAACACCCGAAGAGTAGCCATCTTCAGGGTGGGGGAGAAGGTCTGGAAGTAGTCGACCCCCTGTCGCTGACTGAAGCCTCGAGCAACGTAACGTGCCTTGAAGGCAGGCGGTGAACCCGGCGGCCGCTTCACCCTGAAAATCCACATGCCATCAACTATGTTCGCCCGAGACAGGGGAACTGCATCGACGTATGTGCCTGTGGACTTCCAGGATGCCATCTCGGCATCCATGCCTGCCACTGAGGGGAGTAAGGACCCGTAATCCCCTCTGCGTAAGAGCGCGGGGTCGGGATGTCTGGTGCATCCGGGTCTCCCTCAGGGGCAAGCAGCATGGAAGAGAAACGAGGTACAGCAGCTGCAAGACACTCAAAGTCCTCCTGCCTGTCCTCAAGTGTCAGAATGTTATATTTGTCTAGCCTGCAGTGGGGTACTCAATAGTGAGTACAGCCCAATTTAGGGTTTGCTATATGTACTCAACTGCTTGCTAGTGAAAACCACTCTTCTCTGTTTCATTCATTCCGTTCCTGATTCTAACATGGAATCAGAGCAAGTCGACCCTCACGGGTTGATCCTGTGCATGGGCCCACCGTTAGCTTCCGCTACTGCTGCTGTCCTGCCTATCGCGCGCCTCGGGCGCTCACGGCGCGCGGCACTTTTTGCGCGCGGCGGTTTTCTGCCCGTCGCGCCGCCCTGCTGGGTGCGTGGCGGTTTTCAGCGCCCCCGGGGAACTGCGCGTCGCCCCCCCCGTCGCCCGTCGAAGCGCCCCCGGGGACCTGCGCGTCGCCCCCCCCCGTAGCCCGTCGCGGCGCCCTAAGGGGCCCCGCGTCGCCCCCCCCCCCCCCCCCCCCCCCGTCGCCCGTCGCGGCGACCTGGGGGGCCGCGCGTCGCCCCCCCCCCATAGCCCGTCGCGGCGCCCTGGGGGCCACGCGTCACCCCCCCCCCCCCCCCCCCCCCCCCCCCGTCGCCCGTCGCGGCGCCCTGGGGGGGCGCGCGTCGCCCCCCTCCCCCGTCGCCCGTCGAGGCGACCTGGAGGGCCGCGCGTCGCCCCTCCCGTCGCCCGTCGAGGCGACCTGGGGGGCCGCGCGTCGGCCCCTCCCGTCCTTCGTTGCGGCCCTGCCCTGCAGCCGCCCTGTCGCGGCCCTGCCCTGCTGCCGCCCTCGTCGCGGCCCTGCCTTCGCCTTTCGTCGCGGCCCTGCCCTGCTGCCGCCCCCGTTGCGGCCCTGCCCTGTGTTGGGGTTTGGGGGTGGCGAGTATGGGGTGATGGGTGTGTGCGGCCTCCCCTGCTCCTCCTCCTCCCCCGTCTCCCACTGCTGCAGCTGCCGCTGAGGGGGTGGGTGTGTGGGAGCCGACGGAGTGGTACTAGGGGGTGGCGTGTGAGCAATGCTAGAGGTGCCGCAGGGGGTGTGTGAAAGGGGGGTGAGACAGTTAGAGGGAGGTTGGGCGGAGGCAGCCGTCGTGTCGCCAGCAGCGCCAGTAGTCCGGAGGCTACAATCTCCGGTAGCCCAGCGAGCCTGCTGCGCCAGTTGCCCGTGGGTCCGTTGCTCCTGCCGCTCATCGTTAGCCGCGGAGCCAGTTACTCCAGTAGTCCGGAGGCTACAATCTCCGGTAGCCACAGTGCGCGCCACTCCTGTTGCCCGTGTTTTTGCAGCTTCACCCGTCGTCTCCTATCTCCTCTCCTCTCACAGTCCCTCCTCCTCCTCACTTACCGTCTGTGACTGCCTCTAGCTTTGCTTATATTTGTGAACTATAAACTGCTGCTTCTTGTACTTGTGCTCAGAATGTGTGGTGACATCGTGATCCACCCTGAGTTTGTTTTGCTTTGCTTGTTGTGCTGATTACACCCCACTTTGGCTATGAGGGTGTGTCAGAATGTTATATTTGTCTAGCCTGCAGTGGGGTACTCAATAGTGAGTACAGCCCAATTTAGGGTTTGCTATATGTACTCAACTGCTTGCCAGTGAAAACCACGCTTCTCTGTTTCATTCATTCCGTTCCTGATTCTAACATCAAGGACGTCCGTGCCAAGAGCACACTCACCCCCAACGGACGGAGGACTGGCAGACTCAGACTCAACAACAAGAGCAGTGGCGTAGTCTAGACGACATGCAGCAGCAAAGTCAACCAGCTCAGCAACGATGCCAGACGCAGCAGTGGACTCAAAAGCAGGGTCAGTGACGACAGTGGCAAGGAGACAAGAGACAGTGGGACTGGCAGCACGAGCGCGGTCTGACTCAGGGTCAGGGACGGCAGGAAGAGAGGACTCAGGAGGAGCAGACAGAGGAACACGCAGTGGAACAGAGGAAGGACAAAGAGCCATAGCGTGCGTGCCGGGGACAGGAGGAGGACGCGGACGAGGAACGCGACGACT